ATATTCCATTCAAACACAGCAGAATACACAACTTTCTCAAGTGCACATAGAACATTCTCAAAGATGGACCATATGTTGAGAAACAAAACAAGCCTCAATAAATTTAAGAAGGTTGAAATCATATCAAGCACCTTTTCCAAACACAATGCTAGGAAACTAGAAATCAACTACAAGAAGAAAACTGGAAAAGTCACAAATGTTTGGAGACTAAACAACATGCTATTGAATAACTATTAGATCAATGAAGAAATCAAAAGATAAATTAAAAAATACCTGGAGACAGATGAAATGAAAACACAACATACCAAAAATTGTGGGATGCAGCAAAAGCAATACTAAGAGGGAAGTTTATAGAAATACAGGACTATCTTAAGAAACAGGAAAAATCTCAAATAAACAATCTAACACTATCCTTAAAAAAATTAGAAAAAGAAGAACAAACAAAGCTTAAAGTTAGTAGAAGGAAGTAAATAATAAAAATCGCAGGAGAAATAAATGAAATAGAGACTAAAAAGACAATCAAAAGGATCAATGAAACTGAGAGCTGATTCTTTGAAAAGATAAACAAAATTGACAAACCCTTAGCCAGAATCACTAAGAAAAAGAGAGAAGCCTTTAAATCAATAAAATAAGAAATGAAACAGAAGTAATTACAATTAATACTACAGAAAACAAAGAATCATGAGAGAATACTATGAAAAGCTATACTCCAACAAATTGGATAACCTAGAAGAAACGGATAAATTCTTAGACTCATACAATCTCCCAAAACTGAATCAAGAAGAAATAGAGAAATCTGAATAGACCAAACACAAGCAAAGAGATTGCAACAGTAATCAAAAATATCTCAAAAAACAAAAGTCCAGGACCAGATGGTTTCTCTGGAGAATTCTACCAAACATTCAAAGAAGAATTAATATCTATCCTTCTCAAACTATTCCAAAAAAATTTAAAAAGATGGAATGCTTCCTAACTCATTCTATGAGGCCAACATCACCCTGATACCAAAATCAAAGTTATAATAATCAAACAGCATGGTTCTGGCAGAAAAATAGATACATAGATCAATGGAACACAATTGAGAGTGCAGAAGTAAAACCACAGATCTATGGACAGCTAATCCTCAACAAAAGAGCCAAGAACATACATTGAAGAAAGGAAAGTCTTTTCAACAAATGGTGTTGGGAAAACTGGACAGCCACATGCAAAAGAATGAAAGTAGACCATTATCTTACACCATACTCAAAAATTAACTCAAAATTAGATTAAAGACTTGAATGCAAGGCCTGAAACAATAAAACTCCTAGAATAAAACATAGACAGTCCCCTCTTTGACATTGGTCTTAAGAGTATATTTTGAATACCAAATCTGCTCAGGCAAGGGAAAACAAAAAATTAAAAAAATGGGACTATCTCAAACTGAAAACCTTCTGCACAGCAAAGGAAACCATCAACAAAACACAAAGACAACCCATCAACGAGGATAAAATATTTGCAAACCATATAGCCAACAAGGGGTTAATTTACAAACTATATAAAGAACTTACACAACTCAATAACAAAAAAATGAACAGCCTGATCAAAAAATGGGCAAAGGATATGAACAGACGCTTTTCCCAAAGAAGATAGGCAGATGGCCATTAGGCACATGAAAAGATCTTCAACATCACTAACTATTAGAGAAATGCAAATCAAAACTACAATGAGACATCATCTCACACCCATCAGAATGGCTATCATCAAAAAGACAAGAAATAGCAAGTGTTGGAGATGTCGACGAAAATAATCCATAACCAATCTATAAATGAAAATTTGGGTGAGTTTATTCTGAGCTTAAATTTTAGGATTATAACCTGAGAGAGTCCTTCCACAAAGGAACAGAGCACTCCAAAGATGTGGGGGTACACAGGGTGGTTATATACCCTCAAAGAGGGTGTTTCACATGTGATTGAAATGTCCCTCCCACAATAGTCACAAGATTGCCCTGTCAGCACAGGACTTGATGGACACAGCAGGTAGTGGGTCTGTTATCTTGGTGGGCGTAGCAGGAGGCAAGTCTATTGTCTCAAGCTGGGAGGTCACAGGTGAGCGCAGCAGTTTCTAGCCTGAGAAAAGATACTTAATTCTGAAGGAGACGCTAATGTTGGGAGGGGGAGGGAAGTTGCACCTTTACCTCAAGGGCCTGTTGCTCTTGCCATAGGGAATCTCTAAAGCAGATAGACAATGCATGCTCAGCGGCCTCAGTCAGGCCCTTTTGGAAAGACAAGGTCAGGCCGAATTAGGTTTACACAAAATGGCTTCCTCCTATACTCCAATATATCCTATTACTTGCCAATTTTATTTGTCAGAGAGGATATAGGAAAAAAGGAATCTTTATAAGCTGCTGGTGGGAATGTAAATTGTGCAGCCACCATGGAAAACAATATGGAGATTTTTCAAAAAATTAAGAATAGAACTATCATACAATCCAGCTATTCCACTTCTGGGTATTTATCCAAAGAACATGAAAACTCTAATTCAAAAAAAAAAATGCGCCCCTATGTTCATTCCTGCATTATTCATAATAGCCAAGACTTGGAAGCAAAACCTAAGTGCCCATCAATGAATGGACAGATAAATAAGATGTGGTATATGTATACAATGGAATGCTACTGAACCATAAAAAAAGATGAAATATTCATTTGGGACAACATGGATGGACCTTGAGGCTATTACACTAAGTGGAATAAATCAGAAGGATAAAGACAATTACCGTATGACTTCACTCATGTGGAAGATAAATATACAAACAAATACATAGATATGGAAAACAGATCGGTGGTTGGCAGAGGGGAAGGGGTTAAGGAGAGGGTGAAAAGGGTAAAGGGGCACATATGTATGGTGACAGATGGAAACTAGACTTTTGATCGTTAACACAATGCGATCTACAGAATATAAAATATGTACACCTGAAATTTATATAATGTTATAAACCAGTGTGACATCAATATAATTAATTAAATTGAGGAGAATTCATACAAACTCTAGATTCCTATTTTCTCTTTTAAAAGTCAGATCTGTGGGCCAACCTGGTGGCACAGTGGTTAACTTCACAAGCCCTACTTTGGCTGCTTGGGGTTCATGGGTTCGGATCCCAGGCACAGATCTACACACTGCTCATCAAATCATGCAGTGGTAGTGTCCCACATACAAAATACAAGAAGATAGGCACAGACGTTAGCTTAGGGACAATCTTCCTCAAGCAAAATGAGGAAGATTCGGGGGCCAGCCCAGTAGCATAGTGGTTAAGTTTTAGCACTCTGCTTTGGCAGCCTGGAGTTCACTGGTTCAGATCCTGGGTGTGTACCTATGCACTGTTCATCAAGCCATCCTGTGGTGGCATCTAATATAGGAGAACTAGAAGGACTTAGAAGTAGGTTATACAACCATATACTGGGGCTTTGAGGAGGAAAAAAAGAGGAATATTGGCAACAGATGTTAGGTCAGGGCCAATCTTCCTCAACAACAACAAAAATGAGATGGGGCCACACTTGGCCTACCTTTCTTCAAGGCAATAATTTGCTCCTCCTGAGCAGTGATAACCTCTTTAGACCACAAATATGATTTTATATCCCTTAGTCCTCTTCAATCATTAAGTTCAATCTAGCCAAATTCACTTGGTTACAGAACTTGACAAATTCACTTAGTTACATAACTTGCCCTATCCCCACAATCATTAAACTTTGTACCCTTTATGCCCAGCTAACTTTATTTCATATAAGCACTATTAAATATCATTTATAACTTGTTAGCATTCATTATTATTAACTGTAATTATGTCATTTTTCACTAAGCACTTTGAGCCCAGAATTAAACCCTGGCATATATTGTCAACTAACATTTGACAAGCGAGCCAAGAATACCCAATGGGGAAAGTATAGTCTGTCCTACAAATGGTGCTGGGAAAAATAGAGGGACATTTATGGAACAATGCAATTGGCTCTTTATCTCCCATCACTCATCAAAATTAACTCAAAATTGATCAACGACTTAAATATAAGACCTGATCCCATGAAACTCCTAGTAAAAAACATAAGTAAGAAGCTCATTAATATTAGTCTTGAAAATAATTTTTAGGGCAGGATGCTGAAACCAAAAACAACAAAAGAAAATATCAACATATGGACTGCATCAAACTCAAAAGCTTCTGCATAGCAAAAGAAGCAATTAACAAAACAAGAAGACAACCTGTAGAATAGAACGAAATTTTTGCAAACCATATATTGGATAAGGAGTTAATATTAAAAATATCAGAGTTTTTAGGAAGATGATAACGTAGATGGACTCTGAACTTACCTTCTCCTACAAACACAACAGATTTGCAACTACTCTTAGAACAAGAGAGAGAACTCTCTCTGAGAAAGAACTGAAAACTGTTAAAAATATCCCCAACAACAAGGAACAGTGCTGATTGTGGTGGAAGAGGCAGAAATTCCTTTCTGGAGCAGAAAATCCACATTTTGATCATGGCACTTCAGCTGGGAGCAATTGTAAGATACGAAGCTTTTTCTAGAGGAGTGGGTGATCTGAGTAGGAGAGCTTTGCCACAATAAGCAGCTTTTGGACTCAGCACGACCAAGATGAGTGTCATAATAACTGGCTTTGCTGGCTATTAACAACAATGGGGAATACCCCCAGAAAAGCTAACAGATATAAGAGGAAGGAAAAGCCTGCTCTTAAAGGGCCCATGCTCAAATTCACTCATTTCTGAAAGCAACCTAATATTACCAGAAAGAAAGGTACACAGTCCTTTGGTGAAAAACTACTCATGTGGTAGGCTCTAGACACATCTCTGCAAGAGGCAAAATGTCCCCAGGCTGGGACCACATCCCCAGGGACTGAGACATTGGCAGTAGCCATTATTGTGACCTCATACAGGCCTGGTGACACAGACTCTGGCAGATGTCATTGGAATACTTCCCCTGGCCTCTTACCACAGGTGTCAGCCCCACCCACTGGAACACAGATTTAATCCAGCTCAGCCAGGACAGGCAACCCACCCTAGGGACTGGCCCTACCCAACAGCAAGCCCTTGGTCAACTTGTGGGCCTGCACAGGAGAGGTGTGTGGAAACCTCTGCCTCGGTGTGAGTGAGTCTGCCTCTGCAGCAAAGGGTGAGCATGAGTGGTGGGCTTGCATGGGCAAAGTGTGGGGCCTCTGTAGCAGGGTGAGTAGGTCCACTTCGGTGGATTGGGGCATGCACAAGAGGCAGGACTGTTGACAGGGTATGTGAACAGTGAGACTTGTCAGCTGCAGCACACTTATGCTTGTCAAACAATCACATTGGAGATTGGCCCCACCTACCAACACCTGAAACAATTGTGTGCTGCCATGCCTGGGGCTGACCCACTAAGCTGCAGTCATGAAAGAGATGAAAATAGCTTTGCAGGGCAGAGGCCTACAGCAATTGTAGGTCCCTGAGCCTAGTAACCAGCCATGCTGGAGGTCTACACACTTAACAGAAACACTGCAACAGGAATGCTATTAGACCTTGTATACAATTGTGCTTTGGCTCCCCATGCCTGATAAAGTGACTGAACGGACAATAGCAGCCACACCCAGCTGACCATTACAATCAGCCAGCCAAGTGGACAGCCTACCCTACCTGTGCACCTGCAGTAAGAGCAAACCTGCCACAACAGAAGGACACATGTAGCCCACACAGGGGACACTCCTGGAACATTTGGAATGGCTGACAAGAGGGAAGCTCACTCTGGGCCTCATAAGGCATCTCTCACATAAGGCCATATCTCCAAAATTGGAACAAATAGCTGCTCTACTTTACACATAGATATAAGCACAGAGAAAGAGGGAAAATAAGGAGGCAAAAGAAAATGTTCCAAATAAGAGATCAGGATAAATCCTCAGAAAAACAACTAAATGAAACAGAGATAAGCAATCTACCTGTTAAAGAGTTCAAACTAATAGTCACAAGGATGCTCACTGATCTTGGAAGAAGAAGAGATGAATTCAGTGAGATCTTCAATAAGGAATTGGAAAATATAAGAAAGAACCAATCAGAAATGAAGAATACAATATTGGAAATAAAAATTTGCTAGAAGGCTTCAATAGCAGAGTAGGTGACATGGAATACAGCAGTGAGCTGGAGGAAAGACTAGAGGAAATACCCAAGGTGAACAGGTAAAAGAAAAAGAATAGGGGCCAGCCCCACGGCTGAGTGGTTAAGTTCACACAGTTGACTTCGGTGGCCCAGGCTTTCACTGGTTTGGATCCTGCGTATGGACATGGCACCGCTCATCAGGTGATGCTGAGGTGGTGTCCCACATAGTACAACCAGAAGGACCTACAACTAGAATATACAACTATGTACTGGGGGTCTTTGGGGAGAAAGAAAAGGGAAAAAACAAGAAAAAGAATAAACAAGAATGAAGAGAGTCTATGGGACCTCTGGGAAAAATCAAGGGCACTAACATCTATATGATAGGAGTCCCAGAAGGAGAAGACAGAGACAAAGGGGTAGCGAATATATTCGAAGAAATAATAAGTAAAAATTTTCCTAACCTAAGGAAGAAAATAGACATTCAGGTACAGGAAGCACAGAGAGCATCAATCAAGATGAACCCAAAGAGGCTCACACAAAGACACCTTATAATTAAACTGTCAAGAGTTAAAGATAATGAGAGACTCCTAAAAGCTGCAAGAGAAAAGCAACAAGTTACATACAAAGGAAACCCCATAAGGCTGTCAGCTGACTTCTCAGCAGAAACCTTACAGGCTATAAACAAGTGGCATGATATATATAAAGAGCTGAAAGGAAAAAAGCTACAGCCAAGAATACTCTACCCAGCAATGTTATCATTCAGAATAGAAGGAGAGAGAAATGAGTTTTCCAGAAAAGCAAAAACTAAAGGAGTTTATCCCCAAGAAAGCAGGCTTACAAGGAATGCTAAAAGGACTTATTTAAGTTGGAAACAAAAGACCACAAATAGGAATAAGGAAATTATAAAAAAAAAAAAACAGTAAAATCACTGGCAAAGGCAAATGAACAGTAAATGTAGCAGATCAACCATCTATGAAGCTAATACAAAGGTCAAAGGACAAAAGTACTAAAATTATCTATTTCCATGATAAGAGGATAACAGAAGCACATGAATAAAAAGAGTAAAATATCATATCAAAAACATAAAATATCAGAGGAAGGGAATAAAAGAGTTAAGCTTTTACCAAGAAGTCAAACTTAAGAGACCATCAATCTAGTATAGACTGTCATTTACATAGTTTATTATATACGAGCCTCATAGTAATCACAAATCAGAAACCTATAATAAATACACAAATAATTAAGAGAAAAGAACCCAAACATAATACTAAAGAAAGTCATCAAACCATAAGGGAAGAGAGCAAGAGAATAAGACAGGAAGAGAAGAACTATTAAAACATGCAGAAAAAAGTAACAAAGTTGCAATAAATACATACTTATCAATAGCTACTCTGTCAACAGACTTATTGCACCAATCAAGACATAGGGTGGCTGATTGGATAGAAAAACAAGACCTATACATATGTTGCATACAAGAGACCCACATGAGACCTACAGACACTCACAAAGTGAAAGTGAAGGGATGAGAGAAAATATTCCATGTAAATGGCAATGAAAAGAAAGCTGGGGCAGCAATACTTAGAGAAAATAGACATTAACAAAAACTGTAACAAGAGACAAAGAAGGGCACTACATGATGATAAAGGGAACAAACCAACAAGAGGATACAACACTTGTAAATATCTATGCACCCAACATAGGAGCACCTAAATATTTAAACCAATTATTAACAGATATAAAAGGAGAAATAGACAGTAACACAATAATAGTAGGGGAGTTTACTGCTTCACTTACACCAATGGATAGATCATATAAACCGAAGATCAACAAGGAAATATTGGCCTTAAATGACACATTAGACCAGATGGACTTAGTAGATACATACAGAACATTCATCCAAACACTGCAGAATACACATTCTTTTCAAATGCACATGGAACATTCTCCAGGATAGATCACATATTAGACCACAAAACAAGTCTCAATAAATTTAAGCAGATTGAAAGAATATCAAGCGTCTTTTCTGACCACAACAGTGTGAAACTAGAAATCAACCACAGGAATAAAATTTAAAAAGCCACAAATATGTGGAGAGTAGACAAAATGCTACTGAACAATGATAGGTCAAAGGAGAAATAAAAAAATATCTGGACAAAAATAAACATGAAAATATGACATGTCAAAATTTATGGGATACTGCAAAAGTGTTTCTAAGAGGGAAGCTTATATCAACAGGCATACCTCAACAAACAAGAAAAATCTCAAATAAACAATCTATCAGTGCATCTAAATATACTGGAAAAAGAAGAACAAATAAAGCCCAAAATCAATAGAAGGAAGGAAATAATAAAAATCAGAGCAGAAATAAATGAAATAAACACTAAAAAATAGAAAAAATCAATGAAACAAAGAGCTAGTTCTTTGAAAAGATAAACAAAAGTGATAAATCTTTAGCTAGACTCACCAAGAAAAGAAGAGAGAAGGCTGAAATAAATAAAATCAGAAATGAAAGAGGAGAAATTACAATGGACACCTCAGAAATACAAAACATTATAAGAGAATACTATGAAAAGCTATACACCAACAAATTGGATAATCTAGAAGATGTGGATAAATTCTTAGAATCATACAAACTTCCAAAACTGAGTCAAGAAGAATTTGAATAGACCACTCACCAATAAGGAGATGGAAACGGTAATCAAAAACCTCCGAAAATAATAAAGTCCAGGACCAGTTGACTTCCTTGTGAATTCTACCAAACATTCAAAGAAAACTTAATATCTATCCTTCTCAAAGTCTTCCAAAAAAATTGAATAAGAGGGGAAGCTTCCTAAGTCATTCTATGAGGCCAGCATTACCGTGATACCAAAACCAGGTAAGGACCATGCAAAAAAAGAATATTACAGGCCAATATCACTGATGAACACTGATGCAAAAATCCTCCAAAATACTAGCATATCAAATACAACAACATATTAAAAAGATCATATACCATGGTCAAGCGGCATTTATTCCAGGATGCAGGGATGGTTCACTATCTGCAAATCAACCAACATGATACACAACATTAACAAAATGAAGAATAAAAACCACATGATCATCTCAATAGATGCAGAGAAAGCATTTGACAAGATATAGCACCCATTTATGATTAAAAACTCTGAATTAGATGGTTACTGAAGGAAAATACCACAACATAGGAAAGGTCATATATGACAAATTCATAGCTAATATCATTGTCAATGGAGAAAAACTGAAAGCTATCCCTCTAAGAACATTTACCAGACAGGATGCCCACTTTCATTGTTTTTATTTAACATAGTATTGGAAGTCCTTGGAAGATCAATCTTCTAAGAAAAAGAAATAAAGGGATCCAAATTGGAAAGGATGTAGTGAAACTGTTACTGGTTGCAAACATGATTCTATATAGAGAAAACCCTAAAGAATCCACCAAAAATGTTTTAATAGTAATAAATGAATGCAGTGAAGTTGCAGGATACAAAATCAACATATAAAGCTCAGTTGTGTTTCTATACACCAACAACAAAGTAGCAGAAAGAGAAATTAAGAATACAATCCCATTTACAGCTGCAACAAAGCAAATAAAATACCTAGGAATAAATTTAACCAAAGAGTTGAAAGACCTGTACACTGAAAACTATAAAGCACTGTTGAAAGAAATTGAAGAAGACACAAAGAAATGGAAAGATATTCCATGCTCCTGCATTGAAGAATTAACATAGTTAAAATGTCCATGCTTCCTAAAGAAATCTAAAAATTCAGTGCAATCCCTAATAAAGCCCCAACGACATTTTCACAGATATAGAAAAATGACTCTTAAAATTTATATGGAACAACAAAAGACACTGAGTAGCCAATGCAATCTTGAGAAAAAAAGAACAAAGCTAGAGGTATCACACTCCCTGATTTCAAAATATACTACAAAGCTATAATAATCAAATCAGCATGGTACTGGTACAAAAACAGACACACGGATCAATGGAACAGAATCTAGAGTCCAGAAGTAAACCCACCCCTCTACGGACAGCTAAT